AAATCATTCTGATACAAAGCATGGGGACAGATTGTGTGGCAGATTTAAAGACAAACGATATATATATATATATATATATATGTGTGTGTGTGTGTGTGTGTGTGTAGATTGAACGATTGTTATAGTACACGATTATGGCCTTTATATATATATAATAAAGGCGTAGGAAAAAATTAAAACCCGAAATGCATTCAATGTGTTTACAAGTCTGTTCGTGAACGTAATGTAACATAGGTAAGATAAATAATTAAAAAGAGATTTAAGAGAATTAAAAAATACTTAGTCCTACTCATATAATGAAAAATATTTACTTTTTCTCGAATAGTTATTTAGCTTTTCCTAAATAATTGATATACTATGCTAATGGATACACTGAAATATAATTTATAGATTCTAATGTAAATTAAAAACTATAAAATATTCAGGAAGAAGGATTAGTATTTCGCCATTTTAGCCGCGTCTCAAGCTACGTTCTCTCAAACGAAAAAAGATTAAACGAACGGTTTAGAGTAAGGCGTTGATATGCCTGCATGCAAATATCTTTAAAAAAAAAATGTTGCATATCTTTTGGCATGCATTTGAAATTTACCACTTTTTATATTACTTGACGCAGTAAAACGAGTTCACATTCTTCACTACTTTTCAACAGTGCTGTCACCTACCTAGGAATAATTACAATTCATCATTACTGATCAGACCTGATTGTATATACTTACACGTAGCCCTAAATGAAGATAAGCATCATTTCGATGTTGAAATTGAGAACAACTTGGCGTTTTGCCAAATTCAACGATACTATCTCGAAGCATGCTTGTATATTTTGCTACAAGGTTCAAATGCGCCTCGAGGGACCGATCACAATCTAAACAGAATTTGTTTGCTTTGATATTTAAATAGAAAGGTTTTCGTCTTTTTTATTCTGTTTTTAGAGATCATTAGATAATGTGAAACAAATAAACAAACAGAAAATAACTATTAAAGAAATAAATATAAGTGTAGAACTATATATATTAACATTTCTCGATATCTTTATATTGATTTTTGCCGATTCAACGTGGACAAGAATTAACTATATTTATCATTTATTTTTTGTTTTTCTTGTCATATTTACGTAGAGTGAACAACATTTAAGACATCATGCCTGAAAACAGAGACAAATATTAAAGGTGCACCTCACAAATGAAAACAATATGAATTTTGATAAATATGTTTTTCTTTAAATCCTATAAAATTCATTCTTCATCGAGCAGTGCAAAAGATCAAGAAATATAAACTTGGCGGTAACTTCTGAATAGACTTGCCCATATGGTTTGTTTTAAGTTAAGCACAAAGCTACACAATGGGCTATGTTTGCTCTGCCCGCCACAGGTATCGAAACCCGGTTTCTAGCGTTTTAAGTCCGCAGATTTACTGCGGTGCCACTGGGAGGATGTTCATATGGTGATCATATCAAAACTGAAATAAATTCTTTGCAAAGTGCCCTCTACTGACTGCCTGGTCAAGTTGGTGCAAGTTTTTAAGACATTAGAAGTTCAAACCTGTCCACCTTGTTAATTAGAAATAAGTTTATCAATCTATCAGCTAAAACTGAAAGAGTAAAAACAACAGTTTACGATTATATACAACCAATACCCTGTGGTTCATTTCAAATTAGTGAATAATTACTAATAATTAAATTATTTGCATCAAGCATCAGTCAAATAACACGCTAATTAATAACAAGTCTTTTTCGTACTTGAAACCAGTTAATTTTTTTTTATA